CCAGGAGTTTGAGGTTGCTGTGAGCTAGGCTGACGCCACGGCACTCACTCTAGCCTGGACAACAAAGTGAGACTCTGTCTCAAAAAAAAAACAAAAAAAACTCACTGTGGGTTCCACCTTGCTTCTCCCCCTCTGGGATCACAAGCTCCGGGAAGCCAGTTGCTTTGTCATAAGCAGCCCTGTGCAAAGCTCCATGTTCTAGAAACTGCGGGCCCCTGGGACCAGCCAACAAGCAGCTGAGGCCTCTTCCAGCAGCCAAGTCAGTGAGCCACGTTTCATGCAATCCCCAGCCCCAGTCCAGCCCTCAGATGACACTGCCTGGCTGACAGCTGGACAGCTACCCTGTGAGAAGCCCTGAGCCAGGAGCACTCAGGGAAACCTCTCCTGGATTCCTGACCACCAGAAACTGGGGGAAACAATAAATATTTGTTTTGAGCTGGTATGTTTTAGGTAATTTCATATACAGCAGTAGATTACTAATAGAATTTGCAAAGAGAGAATGAATTATAGCACTTTAATTTTCATTTGCTCTACATGAATTATAAGGTATTAAACATATCATTTGTTCTTAGGATGTAAGAAGAATTTCCATGGCTAAATAGGGTGTATTTTATTACCACTCACAACTATCCATTTACTTGACCTTCTATTTCCAGCTGTGACCCAACTGAACACAAAAGGAAGATCCTGGCCATGCTAGGCTGATTCTGTGATGTCCCCCAATAACCACCCCCTGCTTATTCACCTTCCCCCAGTTACTCAATCACCACTAATGTAGGTGCTGCTTCGAAGGGACTTGCAGATATAACTAAGGTCCAAAATCAGTTAACTTTAAGTCAAGGGATTATCTTGGATTGGACTGTCCTAATCCAGGTGAGCCCTTAAAAGGACTGGGTTCTTCCTAAGCATGAGATAAACAGTGTGAGAGGGACTCATTGAGAGAAAATTCCTTCGCTGTGGGCTTTGAAAGTGGAGAGGCTGTGTGGCAGGGAGTGCTGGGGGCACCAGAAAGTGGGAGCAGCCCCCCTTTACATGATAGCCAGCAATGAAACAAGGACCTCCGTCCTACAACTGTCAGAAATGGAATTCTGCCCACAGGCTCCATATAAGCTTGGGGGAGGACCCAACCTCAAGATGAGAATACAGCTTTGTGAAACCCAGAGAACACATCCGCACCATGCCTAATAAACGAATATCATTTTTTCCACTGGAATGAATTTATGAATTCTAAAGCAGCCAAATTCTCAGATTCAAACACAGTGTTTTATACATTTAATATCTACAGAGCCCAGCTGAGTGTTCTCCGTGTTTGATAATTTTCTTTATTTTTAATTTAAAGAAATGTAGAACTTGCTCTGGATGTGCATCTGGAAGTTTCTTGTTTTCACACTGGAGCTTGATAACAGCTTCTTCACCAGAGGTGATGTTGGCACCCAGGCAGGTGTCTCCAAAGCACCCGCTCAGATCTTCATTCCGAGGCGGTACTTACTCCCCATGGGTAGCTCCATGATTCCCTCTTGCTGTTCCAGCAGCCTGTATTTGGTAATTAATACATTTGTGGGCCGGTCGCGGTGGCTCACACCTGTAATCCTAGCTCTCTGAGAGGCCGAGGCAGGTGGATCGTTTCAGCTCAGGAGTTCGAATCCAACCTGAGCAAGAGCGAGACCCTGTCTCTACTATAAATAGAAAGAAATTAATTGGCTAACTAATATATATATAGAAAAATTAGCTGGGCATAGTGGAGAATGCCTGTAGTCCCAGCTACTCAGGAAGCTGAGGCAAGAGGATCACCTGAGCCCAGGAGTTTGAGGTTGCTGTGAGCTAGACTGACACCACGGCACTCACTCTAGCCTGGGAAACAAAGTGAGACTCTGTCTCAAAAAAAAAAAAAATACATTTGTGGAGCTGCCTAAATGCTAATTGCCTTATAATATTCATCAGGTTACATAATACCAACTGTACACCCAAAATATGCACACAGCCTAGATGTGAAGAATTCATAAAAACAGGATAGGTGTGAGCACGAGTGAGGCGCAATCCTACTGAGCACATGCAGCTTGGAAGTGATTAAAGTCCTACAACTCCTGGTTGAAACAGACAGGACAGGACAGATTGTGCTTCTTGGTATGAGGCGATGTCCTGGACTCACACACACAGACTCAGGGCTGTACAACGAAGACAATTTTAAAATACAACAACTCAGGAGTCCAATACACACCGTCTGGGAAAGCAACACTTGGGAGCGTTGTGAGTCTAACTGTAACTGGTTTAGACACATGTATATATCGAGGGGCCCAACTCACCTCTTTTACACCTTAGAGTCCTGATCATTCAGGGATTACCAAGATTGTGCTGCCCACCCCAGTCCATAAACACAAAGGAAACTGGTCTCCATGAGAGTCTCTCTGTGGTGCATTTAGACACAAAGTCTCCAGGTTTAAAGAGAGAACCCTGTCCCTACACCTCCAGGCCCAGGGCGAGCACACTCTGGCATCCAGTCCCCTGGGGTGAATTTTCTTCTAGAAGAGTCCATGGGGAGAGGAAAGGAGTAGGAGGCAGGGAGGCTAGTCCAGGGAGAGGGATTCCAGGGTGGGAAGGGGCCGGGGTGGGCCTAGCCTAGGGCCATGTCCCTTGGATCCTCACACAGATCCTGGGCCTGGAAGCAGGGACACAGTGTGACAAAATGCGCTCCGTCAGAAGAAGAGGAGTCAGGGCAATGTCGCAGTGCCCAGGACGCGGCTCTCAAGGTGTCTATCCAGAGGGCGGAGTCCCAGGCGGGAAGCTCAGCATTGGGGATTCCCCATCTGCGAGAGTTTCACTTCTGCCTGTCCCAACCTGTGCCAGCTCCTTCTTCCTGGATACTGATGACGCAGCCCCAACTCTCACTCCCATTGGGTGTTCGGTTTCCACAGTCGCCAATCAGCGTCGCCGCGGTGCCCGGTTGTAAAGTCCCCACCCAGCGACCGGAAGCAGAGTCTCCCCAGACCGCGAGGATGGCGGTCCCGGCGCCCCTAGCCCCGCTCCTGCTGCTGTGGGGGGCCCTGGCGCTGACGGAGACGCGGGCGGGTGAGTGCGGGTCGGAGGGGCGGCGTGTGCGGGCGGAGCGAGGGCGCCGCCGGGCCGGGCGGGGGCGCA